GTGCTGAAAGACCTCCAGAGGGGAATCCTGGCCAAGGAGCTTTTCCCATTTGTCCTGTGGTGGGAGGGGGCATGAACCTTCTTAATCTCCAAGAAGTGCTTTGCTAATAAGGCCTGGCTTTTTCCTGTACCTGCAGATATCTTGTTTTTTCCTGTAGCTTGCAGATATCTTGGTTGGGATTCCTCCCTTTACAGAGCAGATGCATTGTAGAAACTGGGACTGTAAAGCCAGTGTTGGTAAACTGACCCCTAATTCTTTTAATACAACATTAAACAGATCCTCTCGCAATAGCATGGATTAAGTATTGAATTTTGAGATTCAGTTAGGAGATATGGTTGTGAAAATTTTGTTGTTATTGTTGTTCTGGGATAAATAATGGGGGACTCTTCAGTGTTCTGAGAGCTGAGCTAGTTCTGAGGGACTAGTAGGAAAGTTTCAGTGCCAAAGATAGCTTAAGGGGCTAGTATGGGCATTCTGTTGTAGAGAAAACAGGGACTTCAATTCTTTTCCGTTCATCAAAATTTGCTGGGCACAGTTGGGTGAGAAATCAGAGTCCTGATCGGAGATGATGCTATGGCAGATATTGCTCTGAGAACATAGACCTGGTGTTCATTTCCTTCCAAGGGTGGTTTAAATCCATGCGAAAACCTGGGGCCCCAGGCTAGAGCCCGGGTGAGTGACATCTTGGCCTGTCCATGCTGCCACTGAGGCTGCCATTGCCCAGGCCAGCCAGCATAGGAAGTCCTGCTGTCCAACAAGATTGCACACTCCTCCAGTCCCTTGTGCTGAAGGTTTCAAAGTGGGAGGAGAAGGGCCTTGTGTTCACCACGAACCTCTATTCCTATGGTGGGGAACAAAGTGTGGATCTGACCTGATGTCTGGGTGTTCTCCTACTTTATACAACTCTGGGGAACCCTCTACTGTCACAGCAATGACATGAGAGTGTTGTTCCATGTGTCTATGTCTATAGCCGCCTGTGGGACACAGGGTTAGGAGTGGAGTTCATGAGAGTGTGTGCTGTACGTGGGTGTGGGGAAAGCAGAGAGACATGGACTCACCAGCATCACTCGTACAGAGTCTGCCATGAGCCCCACGTAGGGCTTCAGGATGTCATAGTGGAAGGCTGGGGTCAGCATCCGTCGGTGCTGGAACCAGGTCTGTCCATTCAACAGGAGCAAGCCGTACCCTAAGGTAGACATGAATGTGTGTATGTGTGTGTGTCAGGGGCTGCAGGGACCTAGGGATGACTGGTGACAATTTGGGAGGGAGAAAGGTGGCTTCTTGGGGAGAGAACTATCCAGAAGAAGCCACATCATGGGCAAATGTAGGAAAAGGAGGTACGTTCCAGGCATGTGAATTTTCTGATTGAACTGCTACATCCATGTGATTATGATAGCTATGAGATAAAGGTTGAAAAGGGTTGTGGGCAGATGTAAAATAAATGTGAGGCCAAGGATGTCTGGAGAGAACTGAGACATGAAATGGAAGAAGCTGAGCCTCAGGAAGGTTTGCACCAGCATTAGGAAGAGGTGAGGGTCTTGTTAGAAGAAGGAAATGAGGCTTGATTTGGGGATGGGGTCATGATAGTGGTGGCCCCTAATCTGTTGTTTTCTGTGAGCCAAAGAAATAACTCAAACCTAACTAAGGAGTGGGCTGCAGCCCTAGTTTGCACACATACCAATCCATGGAGCCAGGAATCTGTAGGGATCTTGGGATTTCGGGTCTGAAAGGTAAGAAAGGGCTTTATAGGAAACTAGGAGCTACTAAGCAAGGCAGTCTCAGAAGCAGCCATCAGTTCTTGGTGTCTGTCAGTTGGCAGTTTGACCCATGTCATCTCCCACTTCTATTTCTATCCTGAAGGTCAGTGTGAGCTCAGGAAGACAGACTCAGTGTTCCGTCAGGAAAACACCCAGAGGGCTAGGAAGGTGAACTGGTGAGACACATAGGCTAGGTCTTCAATGACAATGAATAATACAGAGCCATGGGATTTTCTACATTGATGTTTTCCTAGTCACCTGCATACCAGGACAGGCAACAATTAGAGCTTCGAAACCCAAGTCAATGTGAGTATGAAATTTGTTTTACAGATCTGGGGCAATTTACATTTCAGAGAACCTCAATTTTCTTAATAGAGAAATAGAAAAAAGAATAGAAAATTCAGCCCCACATATTGTTTTAAACATTCACTATTCAGTAAATATTCTTGACTACAGCCTGGGCATGGTGGGCTTGGTGGATGCATGGGAGAGGTTTCAGATATTGATGTTTGAACAGCCATTCTCTTCTGGAATTTTAACACATGACCCAGGGGCATGTGTCAAGAGGGAAGAGACATTGCAGTTGGGATGGGAGTTCTATCTCACCTGATCTCCCCAGAATCACCTTCATATAGTCAGGGTCATGGAGCTGGACACGAGCTTTGCCTCCCCATAGCCAAAGAGGACAGGCACTTGGGAACATCTCCACCCATTTCCGAATCCTTTGTAGCTCCTGGTCCTGTTGGAACTGTCAACGAGGGTAGACAGATGAACACTTTCATTTACTTCTAGTCTTTGCAGCAAGAGTGAAGGGCAGGACAACCACAGGAGCCATGTAGCAGAGGTTAGGGATTTAGATCAATTTCTGATGACCTCAGCTGTAATCCAGATTCTTGCTCTCTCCCCAGGACTTGACATTAGGCCAAGTGCTATGAGCCCTCACTCAATACTGCCAGCAGAAATTTAAGTCAGCCATTGTCTTCATGTTGTGTACAATCTCTGGAAGTCCTAAATACAACGTTTTCCATGGGCAATGTGCATAAATCATATTACTTGATAAGTAGATTTGTAAAATGATTTAGTATATTTAGAGAATAAAATGAATTAATGCAAACATTTAAAATTACACAATAATTTTATATAATCATACTTGTTATATTTTCAATATTATCCCAGCATATATGGTAAATATTTGTTAAGATAAAATAGAATTTGGGATGTATATGGCTAAGCAAAAAGACTAACTATAAAATTGTGTGCATAATAGTATTCTACATGTTGAAAATGTGCAGATTTATGGGATAGAGTCTGCGTATATGCATATGGTGCTGGTGTTGGACTATAATTTTGAGATTTGAGTTTCTTATTTGTATTTTCATTTATCAATGAATTATGAGCTCCCTGCTGCCTGCAGTCATCTTTCTAAACTCTTCGATGTGGATCACAAAGCCCTTGGCTTTCTGGCTTCAACTTCTCTTTTCTTGCCTCCAGCCCTGCTGGCAATTCCATCATCACCTGTTTGTTTCAGCTCCAATGCCAATGCCACCACTGCTGCTGATTCACACACCTGCTCACTCTTCTGGGCCCTGGCACTTGCTCTTTTCTCTACCTTAAATGCCCTTTCCCTCTGCCACAGAGCAGCCACCTCTCTTCAGCTGCCAAGACTCAGCTTTGCTTTAATCTCATCTGGAACCCTCATAGACATTGGGTCCTAGTGATGTTCCATGTAGCCAACTCTTCTTTATTTCAACTGCTTCTAGTAACTCAAAGCAACTGTCTACCACATAAGTATCTAATGTCTGCCCACCTCCTTCTGACAGTCATATTCTCCAGCTCTGAGGCAGCTTGCCCTACTGTGGGATAGGCTCCTTCATTCAGCACACGCTTACTGCGCACACACTATGTGCCCAGTGTGGTTCTGCATTAGGACACAGCTGTGGTCCTTATCTGTGTGGAATTTTCAGTCTAGTTGGGGGGTAAGGAAGATTAGAGGCTGTGCAGTAGGGGATAATGGACATGAGATGGAAGGAAGGACAAGCATCTGGGGAAGCTTTGAAGAGGGACCTAACTCAGAACTGAACATTAGAAAACTCTTCCTCACTCATTGAGTCATCATCTACTGAGGGACTATTGGGTTACAAAGATAAATCTGAGATGGTCTCTCCCAGAAGAAGCCCACACTTATGACACTGCAGAAAAATAACCGAGTCAAGTTAACACTGCTCTGGCCTCTTGAGAAGGATAGCCCATAGAAAAAAGAGTTGGCCCTTCACTACTGGGAGGCCCAGGAGGCCTTCTTGAAGGAGGTAGGTTGGTGCTGGGCCTTGACAGATAGATATGAGTGAGAAGATAATTCCAGGTAGAAAGCACAGTGTGATCAGAGGCCTAGAGGTTGAAATGTATAGGCAGGTAGTGAGGTAGTGAGTAACATATGGTGAAAGAGGAGAATGGGAAAGAAGGCAAAGTGGTATTGGGACCAGTCCATATAGGGCTTGAACACTGTCAAGTCCCCACATTGGTTCTGCTCTGCTGAGAACTATGTTGCCTCCTTTACTGAGAAACAACAGGCCTCAGCTCCCTGCAACCTCTATCTCCACTTAAGTGTGTTCAATTCATAGCACCTTGGTGAGTCCCTCTCCATGCAGCCCCTTACCTTGCTCTGTTCCTACCTGCCCCCCTCCCCATGCAGGGATAGTAATGCACAGGGGATGGGCTGTGTCCCTCCTCAGCCCTCTTGCTGCTCCTTTCTCTTCTTCCTGTGTTCCTCTATACCTGGCATGTCCAATCTTTTGGCTCTCCTCTCCTAGGCCACATTGGAAGAAAAGGAATTGTCTTGGGCCATGCATAAAATACACTAACACTAATGATAGCAGATGAGCTCAAACAAATTGCAAAATAATCTCATAATGTTTTAAGAAAGTTTATGAATTTGTGTTGGGCCACCCTCAAAGCCATCCTCAGCTACACACAGCCCCACGGGACATGGGTTGGACAAGCTTGCTCTACACACCTGAGCTGACCATCAAGGTGTGCCAGGATTTTGCTGATTGCTGGGGCACAGGGAGGGGATGACATGCTCACATCCAGGGAGCTCACAGTCCGGGTGTGTGGGAGGAGAGCCAGGAGGTCAGCACACACTGTTCAATGTGCAACTCAGACACCAGTCTCCTCACCTGGAGAACATTGTGCAGGCTGCCCCCTTCATGTGTACCCACAATTGTCAGGTTTTCAGGTCCTAAATCATGTGTTGTGGAAATTCCGTGAGTCTTGGGGAAACTTACTTAGCCAGTTGGTTCCCTACACCAGCAGATCTCTGCCTCGGATATACACCCCAGCAGAGTGAGCTCTTTTCCTACAGTCTGGCACCTTCTCAAATTCCTGCCTGTATTCTTCACAGACCATGAACTCCTCATGGCACGGATTCCTCAGATGGGTGTCTGTGCTCCCAGGCAAACGCAGGGCCAGGCAGAGAGGATGGCATTGAGTGACTGGACAGGGAGCATCTAGAAGCCTTGTTCTTTGAGAAAAGCCAAGGCTCATGGGGTAATCAGCCTGGAGACAATCAGGCATTGCCCTCCACGTGCAGGACTGCCAAGACACACTTGATATCTGCAGAAGGAGGGCATGGGTGATAGAGCTGAGGACCAGCAGGATGGACTTCATGGGACGAGTGAGCTCGTCATGACTGGGACAAGCTGACACCAGAGAGGTAGGCTGGGTGTTCCTTTGAGGCCTCATGTTTGTTACAAAACAAGGCTTTTCTCTATGAATTGTGACCAGGGTCTCAGAGCCCCATCCCTCTTTGCCCTCCCACTCCCCCATTGAGTTCCTCCCTACCTTCTGGAAGTGCCCGAAGAGCCAGTGGGAGGGAGGGCACGGGAACTGCTGGAAGGCTTTGAGCAGCCACTGCCTGTGCAGGTAGAGCTGAGCAGCCTTGATCAGCAGCAGAAGCAGAATGAGCAGGGAGGCCACTTGGAGGATCCCGGAGACACCACCCAGGAGTCTGCTGGGGCTCAGCACAGAGACACTCATGGTGTAGCACCTGCTGGATCTCTGAGTGCCCCTACCTCTCCCTGCCCACCCCTGTCCAACTGTGCTGAAGTCCTGGGAGGATTGTCCCGCCCACTTGTGGGGAGAGTGAAGGGGGAGGGCAGAACTTGGACCTCAGGGTTCATAATCGATTGACTATGGATCCTAGTTCCTAGGATCCATATGTTCCTAGGGGAACAGTGGAAGAAAAGCTTCATCAGCTGTCTACCACATTCCCCTGTCCATGTACCTCACAAATATTTAATGAGCATTTACTGTGTGCCAGGCAGTATGCTTGGTGTGTGGGCACCGCTGTGAGGAAAACAGACTTGAATGCTGACCTCAAGGAATTTACATTCTGCTTTACTACATTGCAATAATGTTCATTCAGTGGCACTTTTTTTCTGTTATACATTAAAAGAAAATTCTCAATATGATATGTACATTTAAACTTAACATTAACCAAGTCCTGAATCTTTACTTTTGTCTTATTTAAATCTAATTTTATTTACCATAAAAACCACTTCCATCTATATATTGAGTGAGGAGTGGGAATTACGTCTTTCTATTAACTGGATGATGATATGGGCAAACAGATGCTAATATGGCAGCTGTTCAAGTACTTTATTTTATTCCATTGGGGAGATTGGTCTCATAACATCCATAGCATGATTTTTTTCTCAGTTCATATACATGACAATTAAAAAAATTCTACATAATGTTAGTTATGATTTTTTTCCCCCATTGATAGGTTTACCTTCTCTACCGGAGAAAGTCCTAGAGCAATTTTAGTCCTACTTCAGTCTAGTACTATAGCCACAGCAGGAGCATGTTTATCAATTCTCTTTCATCCTAAATAGTACACAATTACACAATCAGAACTTTGCACTCTGTTCAGGAGCCCTGGCTACTTTGTTGAGAACAATCTGTAGTGAACAGAAATTAATATTTAAAAAATGATTGCTTTGCCAACCTCAAGTAAAGTAGGTTAAATAGTAACTATTGCTATGAATTAACCCTCCCTGGCATTTTTACATGCATATCTGTGCATGAGCATTCTTTTTTTTCATCTTTTCATAATTTAAACTTTTATTTTAGATTCAGGTATGTATGCAGGTTTTTTACACTGGTATATTGTGTGATGCCAAGGGTTTGGATACAAATGATTCTGCCACTCAGGTAGTGAGTATGGCATATATTAGTCAAATTTTCAATGCTTACTCATATCTGTACCTACCCCTCTAGTAGTCTCGAGTGTCTATTGTTCCCATATTTATGTCCATAAGTACCCAACACGTAGTTCCCACTTATAAGTGAGAACATGTGGTATTTGGTTTTCTGTTGCCGTGTTAATTTGCTTAGGATGATTGCATCCCAATTCATCCATGTTGCTGCAAAGAACATGATTTCATTACTTTTTACAGCTGCCTAGTATTCCACTCTGTATATGTATCACATTTTCTTTATCCAGTCCACCATTGATGGACACCAAGCTTGATTCCATGTCTTTGCTATTGTGAATAGTGCTGTGATGAATGTACAAGTAGAGGTATCTTTTTGGTAGAACAACTTATTTTCTTTTGGATATATAGCTAACATTGGGATTGCTGGGTCAAATAGTAGTTCTATTTTAAGTTCCTTGAGAACTCTCCAAACTACTTTCCACAGTGGCAGAACTAATTTACATTTCCAGGAATAATGTATACACATTAAGTTTTTTTTCTGCAGCCTAGACGGCATATGTTGATTTGAAACTTTTTTTAAAATTTTTATTTTTTAAAATTATACTTCAAGTTCTAGGGTACATGTGCACAACGTGCAGCTTTGTTACATATGTATAAATGTGCCATGTTGGTATGCTGCACCCATTAACTAGTCATTTACATTAGGTATATCTCTTAATGCTATCCTTCCCCCGCTCCCTCCCCACAATGGGACCCAGTGTGTGATGTTGCCATTCCTGTGTCCCAGTGATCTCATTGTTCAATTCCCACCTATGAGTGAGAACACGCGGTATTTGGTTTTCTGTTCTTGTGATAGTTTGCTGAGAATGATGGTTTCCAGCTGCATCCATGTCCCTACAAAGGACACGAACTCATCCTTTTTTTTGACTGCATAGTATTCCATGGGGGTACATGTGCCACATTTTCTTAATCCAGTCTGTCACTGATGGACATTTGGGTTGATTCCAAGTCTTTGCTATTGTAAATAGTGCTGCAATAAACATACATGTGCATGTGTCTTTTTAGCAGCATGATTTATAATCCTTTGGGTATATA